TTCTCGACCCCGCACAACATGATCTACTCGACCACCATTATGGTTACCGCCAAAAAAAAAACCGAATCCCCATGGGGTGAAAAAATTACAATGTTTGCGGGCGAAAGAGAAATCTGGCTGAAAAGCTCTCGTGAGTGCTACCTGCGACGTTAGCACCGTTGACGAGGGAAAGAGACCGCTGGACCTTCCTTGCGATAGAAAAAATATTAAGCACGCACCGCACGAGGAAGGTGGGGCATTTCGACAACATGAATAGAAGAAAAGAGCCCTGGTGTTAACCTCTCCTGTGTGACCCTGGATGGTTGTAGTTGTATGGAAGAATACACTGAAAAGTGGAGCACTCTACATACTGGGGGGGAACTGTCGCCATAACAAGTAAGACGAAAACACAAGAAAAAATAAAAATGTTTTCTGTGTATTTTCTTGCCAGGCCCCGGTCAATATTGATTTATCCATCCTGTCTACATTTCAAAACTTGCGTATGCGTCCCGCGTGTTCTGTTACAGCGTATTTGATTGAAAGGCACAGCGTGCGTGATTGAAAACACAGACCCCCAGCAAGCAATAAGAATGGTCTCAAACGATGCGCTCGCACGGCTGAGCACGTTTATCGCAATGCGTAAGGTCCTCATGTTGGTTTAGCTGCGCGCAGGCTTTGCTTACAACGATAAAGTTATTACTGCTTTGTTTGGTGCCCCACAACACACGACGTCTTGCGGGATCGATGTAAACATTATCAGGTGATGGAGGCGTATGATCTCCTGGGGTTCACGGGAGCAATAGGGTCAACCGACGTCACCCATATCCGGTAGGAGTGCTGCCCCTATTCTCGGGCAAGGCAGTACACGGGGAAGGAGGGGTTCCCGAGTATCGCGTACCAGGCGATCGTAGATCACACCGGACGTGTCCTTGCCGTTACGAAGGGCTTCCCCGGTGCCATGAACGACAAGACCATCATCCGTTATGACACGGCAGTGGCGATGATCCGCCGTGACCCTGTCTACACGGAGAAAGTGAACACGCTCTTCGACGAGAACGGCCGACCTTTCGAGCGTAAAGGAAACTACAGCATTGTGGACAACGGGTACAACAAGGTGAGGGCGGTTTGTAAATTCTGCGATTGTCCGGCACGGTGCTGTTTCCAGTGTGGTGCGGACATGCTTCACAATTGCGATTTGTATGGACCGTCTGCTAAATCTTTGAAGCAAGGTTGGCACCCCCAATGTGTGTGTTGACCTACAACACGCGATTTCTTCAAGATAGCAAGTCAATGCCTCAGAGGAGCCTCCCCCCCCTCCCTCGTATGGGTGGAGCCTTCTTTTTTGTTTTTTTCAAGTTTACTCGGTAAAATACCGCCAATAGGCGGTGTTGGCCCTCCCATCGCGAAGAAAAGTCGGGAAAAAAAAGGTTGGGTTCAAAAGTTTTTTGGCTTCAAGAGGCATCAGTTTCAGCGTCCACCGTCTTTCGGGGGATGCCTCAATCCCAACAGGTCTGTCGCGAAGTAGCCCGAGCTTCGTTTGAGAAATTTTCGAGGTGATTTTCCGACGTAAACTTTTAACCCTTGCGGGAAACAGGTCGCCGCGAAACCTCACATCAAAACACAAAATATTAAAGGAAGCTCAGGCTACTCCGCCACCGACCTGTTGCTGCTGAGTCATCCCCGAGAACCGACGCCCCACACACACACCACCATAGGAAGATCAAAGACGACCATCAAGTTTGGTGTCGAGATATCAGCGGCGCTGTCCCCCTGGTATTATTTTCCTTTCTGCTCGGGTAGACAGCGTGGGAGATCCCGCCTCTGGAGTGGGACGGTTATAGGAACGGTTTGATCACGGTTTGGTTAACCGCTGTTTCCCGCACATAGCAACACCCGTCCGACGTAGGTCGCCCCGAATCGTCCTTGCGAATGGCTGCTGTAGCTCAACCGGTGGAAGGTTGTGTATTCTCATGTTTTTGTTGTCGAAGGGGTCAAGGGTTTTGGTAAGAGCACCCTCAACCGTTCCGTCGAGAACCGTGCTTGTGCCTCCTGTGGTCTAATGAGTGCCGGTGCTTGTATATGTCTTTGAATATTGCCCCCTCCCGCCCCCCCCTGATGGCTATCGGCGATCGGTCTTGGGGAGCAATGCTCCGGCCTCTCGAGGACACGTGGTCAATATAACAGCCGAGGCACACAGAACACAAACACCCCGCCCCCGCCCGGAGAGGACGCATCTATCTCTCGCTGCTACGTCGCGTTGGGTGTCAGGGTTGTCTGCTGTACGTGCCCCCGTTTCTGTGGGCGTTCTTATGTTGTTCATATTCTACCGTGCTGCAGCTAACCATGCCCGTCACGCCCACATCCCTCGCGCTCCCTTCGCCACGCCTTGTTTTCTCTTTTAATCAAGTGGGGGATTCTCATTCCCCATACGAAAATACCCTCAGACTGACATGGAGAGCAAGTGGAGCAAAGCGCAGGAGAGCGTCCGAAAAGACGTCGAGTGCTTCGGCATCTTGATGGGCCGCTTCAAGATCCTGAAGTTGGGAATCTTTTTCCAGGACAAGAACGTCATCGACAACTTGTTCGTCACGTGCTGCACCTTACACAACATGCTGCACGCGTTCGACGGGCTGGAAGAACTCGAGATTGTCGAAGAGTGGGGAGCGAGGGCGGGTCTCCACGATGCTTGGGACAACGACCTTTGTTGGACAAGATTACTGTGGGATCCACCAGCCCCACCCCGGCGGACGATGACGACATCACCACGACCCCGGAAGCAGCCCATGAGGAGTTGAAGAATGCGCTTATGACGCACTTTGAATTCCGTAGATCGAAGAACGACATTCGGTGGCTCAGACACGCCACAACTGGCTGAAGTGGACGTGGCGCTTTTTTTTTTTAGGGGGTGCGTGAATTTCCTTCTTCTTTCACGCGCGTGTTTTCGTCCAGCCTGAAAACTGTATGCCAAACCGGCTCGGTTGTTTCACGCTCGGAGTGGGTTAGCTGGAGGACCCATACTGCATGCCCTTAGAATCGTAGCTTTCTTCCTCTTTGTTTTAGAGTGCATTCTTAGATATGCGCCTGATCCACGTCGTGGAAGGCACCGTTACACCATATGCCGCCCTGAAATCCAAGTACTGGTCGGTGTTCGCCAAATTTTCTGCAATGGGGGTTAGGGCTACAAGCAATCCACCAGGACCAGTTAATTTTTTTCTCGCTAGTATCCACCCCTGGTGTGGGTTATTGTCGCGATTGTATGTATATTTTTCTGGTGTTCTCTTTGATGGACGCTTGTGTTAACTCTAGTTGGGTAGTTGGCCGATGATCGCGAAATGTTTCCATGAAAGGTTTTGCATCAGTTTACCGGACTGGGTAGGTTATGCAGGCAAGGCGCAAGTGCTGGTGATAACGTGTTGTTTGCAGTGTTCTCGGTGTACCGTGATCTAGGCGCAGCATGCCGTTCTCGCTGTTTTTTCTGGTTACGCTCTAGACTATGCTTTTTGTGAGCGGATCTTTGTACATCATCTGAGCCGCCTGTTGGTCGACAACTGAGTCAAGTGGGTGACTACAATCACCGCACGTGGCATGGCAGTGGCAACCCCAGCGGTGAATGTAGGAGAAATACTCAGAATCGTGCACTTTTAATTTTGTCTGGATGAGTGAAGGGGTTTGGCTCCGCCGGCCGAACGAGAATGTTCCTACCTATTCCCCTCCTCCGCCTGATGTGTCTGACTGGGACCTTCAATTTTTAATTCATGTGTTCAGTTCTGTGCATAGTCTAGACCTAGGCCGTTTTGGCTTTCTTTTCCGACTATCGAGTGCGTTGTGTGTGCCCTTTTCTGGGGAGCTGGTTTGTGACCACGGAAGACATCCACGTGTTTTCGACCGGATAATGTAAGGTGCCAGGCAGAGGACGGAACGGATGGTGAAAATCAAGGCAACACTGGGAACGGTATCCACACTCGCTCCTCCCTCTTTTTTGTAGTGGCGCTACACGATTTTACTCCCGCAAGACGGCATGTTCAATTGTCGCAACATTGATCCAAGCGCGCCGAGTCGATCGCAGGCAGACAGTGCGAGGGGTCAAGTGTAGAATTCGATTTTCTGTTCACCCTGACACATGGCACTGACACAGTACTCGCCCGCCGTGCAGCCAGTACCGACTCCCCGGTCAATGACAACGCCCCCGTCAAAATAAAGCAATGTCGGGGAAACGCGACAACTTGGAGTTCGTTTTCTGTCGGGGGGGATCGACCCCTTACATGCGAGTTCGCCCCGCAGCGTTATTTCTCAAAAACCAACAGGGATCGGTTGACACTGGTGTCGAAGCTGCTGTAGTCGCCTCTCATCATTCATGCTTGTTGCTTTGTCTAGATAAAGGGGTGGCCATGTCTGCAGCTCAAGGACACCTCGGGACTCCTGGCTACAAGCAAAAGTTTGCGGGTGCGCAACACCTCAACCCCGCCGGTGCCACAGGACTTCCAACCAAGCTAGATTACCACCAGATCATACCTAAACTTTTAAGAAATAACACCCGTCTAGAAAAACGTACAGGCTAAACAGCCGCAACCCTCTAGACAGGACAACATCGTGGGTTATGGGGCAAGCAGTCCGCGTGTCCAATATTGTTGGTATGCCTGTAGGTCCCTAAAACAGACTGGAAGAATCCAGGGACCTTCCGCCCCGTACCTGGATGACGAACGAGAGTACTTACGCCCCCCGGGGCGTTCTGAAAGGATCTTGCGGGGGACGTTCAGCTCCCGCTCCGCCCGCGCTCCCACGGCCGCTTCAAATAGATACGGAAATGTTGCCTGAACATCAAAAACCTTCAGAACTTTGCTCAGTACCTTGTAACATCCGCACCGGTCCAACTGGCGCCCACCCCTTCCGTGCTCCCTGGCCTTTGACCCAGGAAACGATACAAACTTGTCTAAAATACAAAGCAACAAAAACATGGACAGAAAATTGGGGCAAGAATCCGGAAAAGCAAATCGAAATAGAGCAAGGAACGCCCCATCCAGACAAAAAAATAGAGCTCATCGGCTCCGCTCGGCACGCGATGCCAAGGAAAACAATCCAACTCAAAATTTTTTACAAAAACACGATCCAGTCAAGTCTCGCTGACTGTATTCCTACTTGTTGGCACCGCCGAAGCGATGGCCCACACGTACATACAAAAGATAGAAAGACGCATTTCGCAAAACAATATATTTTGTTATTGTTGGCTTCTCATTAAAAACCGTCCCGGTCTCCTCTCAGTACCTTCTAGTATCCGTACTGGTCCAACTGACACGGACGCCTTCCGTGGCCACAAACCAACTACCCCAAAGGGGGTACACCTTTCTAAAAATAAATCTGGACAAAAGAAAAAAAATCTTCCAAGGCGCGATTTGTCTTTCTACCCAAACGAAAAAACAAAAAACACCTCAGGAAAAAGGATGAAAGAACGAACGACAAAGAAAGAAAAAAAAGAATGAGAAACGAAATCGAGAGAGAGGGACAACGGGAACAAAAGAGAAGGCCAACAGGATGTCCCCCCCGACGCTCCAGTCTATCGGAACTATGACGAAAAAAATGAAAATTTTGTGCGTAGAAATCGATATACCATCGCACAGTTGACCATCCTCCTTAATCAACACTGGTGTGGAGCTTGGCCTCCACAAATGATGAGAAAACTGGCAGCCGCCTTGAACGCAAAAAAAACAGTTCAACGCACACTGCACCCGAAATATGGGCCCTCTTTCTCCGCAGGGAGAGTGCTTCAGTCTCGGCTTTTCTTTTTCTGGGCCGTCGTACAGCACTTGATTATCAACTTCTCAGAAACTATCCGAAAAAAGCAGGATTCGCCCCCCCCCGCAGCCCCCGTCCCCCCCCCCGCCGCCGCCAGCGCCGCCGCCGCCCTCGCCGTTGCCCCGACATCGCCACTTGCGCCGCCACCCGCACCGCCGGCTGCACCACCGCCGCCCTCGCGGTCGTCCCCGCCATCGCCGGCTGCGCTGTCAACGCACTCACCGTCGTCCCCGTCGCAGCCACATGCGCCGCGGGCTGCACCGCCACCACCGCCGCTGCAGCCTTCTTTCCCGCCGTCATTGTCATAGCCTTGGCTGTGTCGTCCCCAAGTCCTAAAGCTAAGACACGCCTATATTCCTGCGTCGCCGCTGTGCCCGCCGCCGATGCCGCCTCCTTAGTGAGTGAGGCAGTTTGTACAGGCTGTTGAGCTCGCGGTCCCGCTGAAGGAGGCGGTATCGCTGACTTAACCGCAGACACAGCTTGGGACACACCCGTTGCCTGCAACCCGTCAGCCCCGTCCGCCCCGTCCCCATATCCGGCACCCAACTGCTCATCGTCCTCCTCGTACGGGGCTTTGAAGGCAAGTGAGTTATCGGCAAATCCATGTTCGCCGTCCTCTTCCCCGTCCTCTCCGTCGTCCCCCTCGGCATTCTCTGGTGCCGAGGTCCCCTCTCCCGATTCGGACAAATCGATCGAGGCTCCATTTTCAGAAGGTGCGACGATTTTTTCGGCTTGCTGGAGGGCGGGTCCGCCTGCGCGGTGATGGGCATATCGGGCTGGGGAAGAGGTGTGGCGTACAGCGCCAGGAACTTTCCTGAGTCTCTCTGACTTTGCCTTCATTGCCCATATCCTTGTACCATGCGATCAGCTCGTTGAGTCTTTACCTCTAGAGCCCGATCATCTTGGATAGACTTCTGAGCTATCCGAATATCTTTCTTGCGATTCGTCTCCTTCATCTCTCGGACGAAATCTACGATAACGCGATCGGCCTCTATTTTAACGGGGTTCTTCATTATCCCGAGTAGTTCAGCATTTTACTCCTTCGTCTCCTGGGCAGCCTTCTCTTACTTAACCCGCTTCCTATCTTCTTCCTGCTCCTTCTTCCTTCCCGTCCTGCTTGCCAGAATCCCCGCCCCTGTCGCACCCTGCTTCTTGAGGTGACTTCATGTTTTGCCGTGTCGATTTTCCGGACCCTCCCCCCTCCTCGCTCTCGTAAGTCTCGTCGGGCCCCCCGTCGCGCCCGGATCCGCTTTCCAAAGACAGGCAATGGTACGCGTGCTGCTTCCCGGCTGGTCGCCGGCATGGGTACTTGCACCTCAATCGAGTCCGGCGTCGCAGCCGCCGCCGCCGCCGTCGTCGCGCCCGGCGTCGCAACCGCCGCCGCCACCGCCGCCGCCGTGATGCCCAACGTGCCCGGCATCGCAGCTGCCGCCGGGACCCCGCCTCCCGGCTTCCTCTTCACTTTCTTTCTGCTTTGCGGCTGTAGTCTCCAGATGGCTTCGTGAAGTTTGTTCATTACATCGCCTTCTGCTCCCCGGCGGGTGGTTCACCTTCCTCGTCGACGAGGCTGCACCACGAACAGGGACGGGGGGATACGGTACCAAGATGAGTACTCCGGGTGTGTGTGCAAGCGAACACCAACGTACGTAAACCCACACATGAAACATCTCGGTTCGGGGAGGGGGGGCAGGGAACTGAGGACAGGGACAACCATACATAGGTCCCCGTTCTAAACTGAGGCATGTTCACAGGAGCGGGGACATAGGCCAGGCATGTCCGGTTGACATGCTCAAGCATTGTCGGGCAGGCTTCTGCTTCTTTCATGTTGTGGGTGTCTTCAAATTTTATTCTACCGAACCCCTCCCACTACCCCAGGGTGTTTTCAAAGTTAGAGGGGCGATCTTCTTCAGATGACAAAGAAGCCGAGGGAGAAATGTCCCCCGGGGTGTTGTCTCTTCCCTGTCGTGAGGTACCCGAACACACCACAGCGCTGACCCAACGGCAC